GGCTGGCTTTGACGAATGCGAATTGCCGTCATGCGGTAGAGGCTTTCTTGTTTAGTACGCATGAAGGCATTGGCGAAAGACGCTGAGTGGGGATCAGGTTTTTGTCATTGCTAGCTAGTCTACTCTACACTGCGTCTCTGTTCGATTTAGATCTGTGACACCTCTTATGGTGGGTACAGGGGGGATGTACTTGACTGAAAGAGGGAATTAATTCAAAACTGTCGGCTCTTTCCACTGTTGAATTGTGCCACGCGAGTTTTGGTTTTTTTTAATTTGCTAAATTGAGAAGACATTGCTTTGTGGCGATTACGGTAAACTGCCCTACTGACTAACGCTCTCCAAGAAACTGTGTGTCTAGCTAGGCTGCCTTTCCCAAACTGAATTTAAATGAGCACACGGGAATACACATCAACGTGTAATTTGGTGTGCGACCCATTTGCTCCGGCATGTAGTGGCAAAAGAGCTGATGAGATGAAGTAATAGGCAAGTAAGTCATTTACACGGAAGGTTAGTGGAATCATTTGTCAGTGGATATGATGCAGCATTCAGCCCTAAAGGTGGTCAAAGGGCGGAATCGGTTGGAATGGTGCAGAGGCGGTGTGGAACCGTCGCCTTGTTATCGCAGCCTCGATCGACTTCTTTTAACAGGCGACATTGGACTTAGGTTAGTAATGAGGAAGGAATGATGCACAGGCACAAGCAGCGAAGCCATGAAAATTGTGTGACAGAGTGCTGACCTTGGCATTGTGATAGTTATTGTGGTTATGATGGCATTTTACGTGAGTACTCTTGCCTTCATCATGCTATAAAGACTGCTCCTCCCTCTTTACTCCCAATGGATCTTTGTGCCAGTCATATGGGTGGTAGAGAATACCTTCTGTGAAATAATGACACGAATAAACAATGATGAGCTGATGTTGAGTTCTCTGCAAATCTCCTTTCACACGTACGTCGGAAATGGACCGGTTGACAGTGCACGCGATCCCTTGATTTTCCATAGTCCTTAGTCGAGAAGGCTTATTTTCTGACAGACTTTCTCTATTATTTCATCTCTCACTGTGTCCTCTTATATCGTTGCAAAAATGGTCAGTCCTGACTACCATTTAAGTGCATTATAATTGTAACACTTAGATGCTCTCTAACTGGGAAGTTAATGAAGCGACTTTTAGCTCCTTAACACAAGTTGGTAATGTCTTCCGCGGAAAATGCTTTTCGTTAATGCATTTAAAGGAAATATTTTATCAAATCTCTCAGCATCTAACTAGCCAAATGTTAAAAAAGGCTTTCTCACTTTGCCTGCCACATTAGTTGCGCCTCACCTAGCGGCAATAAACTTGTTTGTTCTCTCTCCCCGAAGGATGTGCAAATTTATGGCGAAGGTAAAGGAGGAAAGGAGGTTGTTAGCGCACCCACAAACCACTGAAGGTATGAAAAAGGAATTTTGCGGATCTTAGAGTCCATACTGTGCAGTGGAGGAACAATAGCGGAGTTCCATTGTGTCCTCTGACCACGAATGGCAGATGCACAAATATTCTGCGTAATTACCCACCCAAATACAAATGTAAATGTTGAAGCTGATGTCTGCGAGACCCACCTGAAAACGAAGAAGGCATGATGGATAGTGGGGTTTGGAGTTAATAGCATGCCTAGGGCGACAGCGGACTTGAGGGTGATAGTGACCTTAAGTGAGTAACCCATCACCTACACCAAGGTGTGAACCATTGTCATTGGTTCACCTGATTATGCTCACTTTTTCAGATAACTCGCAAGGCACGTGGGCAAAGCAACAGGAAGAAAAAGTAACTTTTGACTTCCGTTTGTAAATGCTAGCATGATTCTGTAGAGACCATGCTTGTATAAACAATTTCTTTTCTTCTAGATGGATGAATTGAATAATATAACGAGTTACTAAATGAGGTTGACAGCTGGCTGTGCACGGTATCTTCAAGCCCTTCTCTATACATTGAAATATTCCTGGGGCTCCGTGCTGCGGATTGAGGCGCATTTAGGAAGTGAAGGCTTCTTTCAGGTGCTTTGAGATAAATTCTCTTTACTGTTTGAATTGCGTGTCATCAAGATACCACCATCCGATTGTGTTTTGGTGTGACATTTTGTCCGCTGTTGTCCTTGAATGTTGGCCAAAACATTTTTACAGGTGATTCTGGGCTTTCCTCCTTAATCGTCTCTCACACATGGTGAACCTCCTAGGGATTGGAAAGGTAGGGTTGTAGTCGTCTCTTTTCTCACTTTAACTTCACATTTTAGGAGCACATGGAGGTGGAGCTCATGTGAGCGGGGAGTTGAGGCGTTGAAATCGTGGGCACAATTTCACTCTTGCATTTACATGGTATCACGTTTGTCTTTTTCCCAAATGACCCAGTTTAAGTTGTTTCCTCAACCTTTGGCACTTTGTCAACGCTTGTGCTTAACTAAAGTTTCTTTGCGATGAAGTTATTTTTTAGTCCTCTAAATTGATCACCTAGTTCCAAGGGATGCCTTCAAGTGCCTCGTATCACAAGTGTGCGATGCTTCGCTTGTTTTTCAACGGCGTATTTAATTACGCAAGCAACTAATTCTTCGAAAACTGCTGCATCTATGCCAGTAGTCTCAATTTCCCCTTTTCTGAGAGGACCATGAAGCTGCAGACCTGCTAACGACGTAAGATCCGAACCTAGTAAGCAACTCTCATCCGCTCCATTGCTCTAACCTAAGTCTTGACATGACAGATGAGCATCTGCCGCTCTAACTGGCTGTAAATGATCCAAGCCTGCCTTCTGTTAGCGCGCTAATGGCAGCTGAAGCGGCACTGGTAATGAATCACTCGCATTAGTTTCTTATGCAGCTGTCTGCTCTGCGTCTATGCGTAGATGGCAATTAGGCGAATTGGTAGATGAATAAGTCTCGGATAAATGGAAGGTTGGTAGGGTGACACAAACGTAAAACCTCCTTAATTGAGTAAATTAATTAGCGGGTGTTTTGCAAAGCGTTGACTGCGTCGCGCCAGTCGATGTGAGAGGCTGATTAAAGGAGAGTTCTTGAGACGAAGCTTTTGTAAGTTACATTTGATCACGCAGCCCCTCAGACCCAAGCACACAGTCTTCAGGTGGTGTCAGTAGCCTCACTTCACTGAAGGACGCACGACACCTTGAGCGGACCCTGTTCAATGAAGTAATTGCACAAACCGTACCTCTTACTGCTTTCAAAGTAGATGAAATTATTTTAAAATTTAAATCAGCTGCTGACATTTGTCAGTGTCACGTTTGCAGATTCTAGGGAACTTAAGGAAGTCTTATTAACGTTCCTTCCGTCTAAGCGGTGGGAGGAGCGTAGGCGGAGAAAGTGACCCTCTTGCTTCTCATCCCTTGACGCACGGAGGGAAGTAGCATTCCATCAGGCTGTAACTGACGCTTCCGGTTGCTGTTTCCTCCACCTCTACACATCCAAAACAACGTAAAATGAATTAGAAAAGGTTAAGGTTTTACTTTACCTCAGAGATTGCTTAGCGTTTTTATGACATTGGCGATCTCATGGCAATCTATCCTGCGAGCCAAGCCAATATCTCTTTTTCTACCGAATATCATATCTTTTCTGCTCAAAGGAAGTCTCAGGGTTCTTCATGGGTAACAGAGGGTGAAGGACTTGGTTGCAAATGACATCTCTTCCAGTTTTCGCGGCTGCGAGCTGTGGAAGTAAGAATGCGTGAATCCCTCTAAAGGGGAGGTCTGAAATAAATGTCTCCTTTTGATAGTTTTTTCAACCTCGTGTTTCGTGGGAGAGCTGGCACAGCCTAAAACAATGCTTTATAAGAGGCTGTCAACTGCATCGGTACAACGACCTCAATTATGCAATCATGCGCCACCGACTTCACTCTCCACACGGGAATTAGATAATTGAAAAGGTGTTCCAAGCTTTGACCTTTATTGCCTGACAGTTTGCGCATGTCCTCCTCTCATCGATGCACAGTTCTTGAAGATGATACAATTCCAGGCTCAGTGGAGTTGGCGCGATGAATTAGCGAAGTTCTGCTTGGTTGTCCCTTCATGTGCACCCAGCTACGATGGCCAGCACGGGCACGTTCCCTTACTTGTTGGAAGCTTTGTTCCTGTCACCTTTGGTCCAAAGAGTAGAGCTGCACAAACCTTGATTATGTTACTGCCGGGTGGCTTGATCCCGAGGTCTCTTCTGCACCGACGGATCATATTGTATTATAGTAATATTGATGTCTCTACCTTCGAGGAGACGTAAGAATGATGCACAACCGCGCGGTTACTCAAGAATGCATCCCATATTAGACGGTCTTCACAAAGTCCGATTCGCCTGGTAGAGGATAACATCGTGGAGCATAACGAAAGGAATGCAGTCACCATTGGTACTCTCATTCAAACAACACGGCTTCTTCTTAGTGCATCAAAACCTTTGTTTTAGGTACATAACGCAACATCAGCAGCTTTCAAAAAGCACTACCGAATAAGCTGCACCACTATTATTTGAGTGTCTTATTACTGCCCACAATCCCCTTGTGAAGACAAAAAAGCAAACTCATTGGAGAGTGGAGGGAGGACTTCTATTATCTGCCTCAGTATCTGTTAAAGCAGATACCATTCAGCCATCCAGTTAGTCCGTAAGTAAGTCCAACACGCATCATCTAAGCATTCATTCAATCGGTTGTTGCTGTTCCTGTGTTTGCGATGACTGACATACAGGCAAGAGCACGGGCAGGAAGGAGGAAGAGGCAACGTTACATAAGGGGTGAGGCGAGCAGAGATGGAGGGAGAGCATGAGCCTAGAGAAGAGGATTGTAGTTCTCAACAAAACAAAAATAATTATGAATAAATGCTCTCCGTCACACACACACACACACATACGTCGTTGGCAAATAATGCATCATAGGAAAAAAAGAAAAGGTAGTAAAATAAGAATATAGGAAGAGGGAGAGTGAGAGAAGAAGGAGTAATGACGATGGCAGATCAGTGAGACGGTGCATTGAGAGACCAGGTGATCTAGGCCTTTGCCGCACCTAGACAGCCATCCTCGTCGTCGTGAGCCAATCGAACTTGAGTTGGCGCCTCAACGGTGGGCGAGAGATGGGTTCGGAGGCGGTTTTGGTGACGGTTTCGACGGTTGTAGTTGAGACGGCGAAGATAGTGGTAGCTGGGCATTGCACCTACTTTGCGATCACCGCCATCGGCTTCGTCTGAAGAGGACTCAGAGGCAGAGGCCTCTTCTTCATCCGTTGAGACCGCACCATTGGACTCGATTTGTGGATAAAAAGCGTCCGGTCGGAGAGCCTCTGACATCTCTGCATTTGTCGTCACCTCATACGGCATGTGACCATGCTATAGGAGAAATTGAAAAAGAAGGCATAAACCACTGGGCACTTGTTCGCTTTGCCTCCGTACTGCCACTGTTGTTGGCTTACAAAAAAGCGGGTATTCCATTAGTGGTAGATCACGTCTGGTATCTAATTGCGGGTGAAGCACCGCCGCAGAGGCAATGCAATTGATGGAAATGAGAGCTTCTGACAACACAATACTCGTTCCCCTTCACATACTCTCGTAGTTAGTCAATTTTGAAAGGTCTTTAATCAGACCAGACAGAGACCAAAAGAGTTCTCTTTTTCCAGCCAAGCATTCCAATTTGAGTTGCTGAGAGAAAAGAAGCACCTCAGTTCGTGCAGAGTTAACATGGAAATCTCATATCGCAATTTAGTCCTCAAATTCAGTAAGAAAAGCGTAAACCCTGTCGATGTACAGTTGTGGCAGCTGAAAAATCTGAGGTGGTTATCTTTGAAGTTGAAGTCAACATGCCACAGCCAAAATGGCAGTTTTGAAGTTAAAAAGCAGGAAACACTGCTGCAAAAAGAGGAGACGGTTCATCTCTGAGCAATGAATGTTGTCTCGCCGTTGTTATTTGGCTTCAAATTTCAGAATATTTGCCTCACCACCCACCTTTCCATTCTCCACCATAAGTGCAAAATTCTAACGATGATTTTCGATGGATTTGCAAAGGTGAAGGACTTGAAGGCTGTGCGATTCCTCATAGCTCAAAATAGCATTTTAGTTTTGATAAACAAGTGACCACTTACGGTTAAGGCGGCAATGCACTCTTCATCATCCTTTCATTGTCAAACAAAAGAATTTCTATTAAATGCAAATTGACGAAAGGCGTAAAGTAGAAGGCGGAAAAATAACTCTACATGTTTTGTTTCGCTTCGCCTTTGTAAATGACATGACTTCTCAAAATTCAAAGGACATGTCTTAACAACAGATACGATAGGGCAAGAGAGAGAGGGTGAGAGGGGGACGGTACGATGAAAGTACGTGTGGAGGATGGGGGAGGGGGAGGCCTACTTATATTTAATAAGTAGCGGTGCCGGTGCCGTTTGCTTAAAAGGAAGCAGAAAACAAGGGAGAAATGAGAAAGGGAGAGGGCAGAACTAGATGAAATGGTGGAGTTAGAGGAAAATGATGGAGAGGGAGTGCACTAGCGTGGTCAAGAGAGTTTTGAATGAGGAGCTTAGAATGGGCGGGAAATAGCAGTTGATAAGAAAGAAAGAAGTGGGATTGTTTTCGCGTGAACTTTGAAAGTTTGCATTTTTCTCATTTGCATAGATGGGAGGCATCACGGACTCGCAAAAGTCCTGAACGTCAAAGGAGAGGGAAGACTTCAAAGTTGATGGAACACACCGTCAAACTAACTCATATCAAAGCACATGCTCGTGTCGTATTTAATGAACACTCTTGACACTTGCCCTTCAAGAACTTTGAAAAGGAATATTGGATTTAAACTAATCTCCCAACTACGTCGAAATACACATTCTGACAAATGGGCAGGCAGAACTGCAAAGCTGAATGATTCCCGTGGCAAGGCTTACACGTAAGTGGATTTAAAGGAGCCGATTTTGCAACTGGATGAATATAGTTTTAGATGCCCCTTTAGCAGTGATTGGATATGCTCTGAGTACTGGCTTCAGTGTGCCCTGAATGCCTGAAGTGAAACGCAAAAAAAAAGAACTTCATGGATTACAGAGATGGAGCAGCGCTAGCCATGGCTTCGAAACTGGTGGATTGGGATGCCTAATTCTACCAAGATGCAAGAGACAGAAATTCTCATAAATAATGTACAGTTGCACGTAAAAACGGGGGCATAGAAAGGTGCACCACAAAAGAAGTAGTACAAGTGGAAAAGTGGGGCTTACGCAATCTTTAGCTCTTCGATTGGCGCCGTGGCGGAGGAGGATGCAAGTCACGTCAACCCGATTCTGCTGCGCCGCCCAGTGCAGTGACGTCCACCCATTCTGGAAATGTAAATGAGAGCAAATGAAGTCAACTGTTGCAACACTTGTCAACGGCTGTATGGGATTTTACAGCCGCTTCCTAATGATAGCATCAAGGAATCATCTATTCATAAACTTCCATGTATGGACAGGCGATAGGATCGCCCACACACACTGCGAAACACTATTCATGCTGCAAATTGGAGTCACAGAACTTGTCGTAGACGTTCAAAATAACCCAAAGGTAAAATATCCATTGCTAACGGTCAATTGCTTTTATGTGTCCACCTAATAGACCGCAATATTTTGTAGGGAAAAGCGATTTTTAGCAATTGAAACACATCGAAATGCATTTTTTTAATCGCAGAGTTGATCACAACGAAGGTACCTACCCCGTCACCCAGCTTGAAGCGAATAAAAGATGGTAGCCAGATTTCAAAGAGGCAATCTCGATAGTACATTTTTTTGAAGACACAAAGAAGCTACAAAGGCAATGAGAACGGATAGATGGTTAGCGTCTTATACCCAAGAGTGGTTTAGATGCCGTTTTAGGTACTGCTTCGTTTCTAATCCTACTACTCTATTCATGTCCGGATCTAGGCGTCGTGATGGAGTAGCCATTCGCAAAAGTTGTTCATCAGTTTTTAAACAGTTGACAGAATGTTACCAACATCCAAGACAAAATATGAGGGCAGTGGAGATGGTCAGAGCAATGCTTTCTACCGTAAGAAAAAGTGGACAAGGGTACATTTTTGAGAAAATACCAACTCGAGCCTAAATAATTTAGGAAAATTTCAACAGACTGCTTGGGAGTAGAGGGCATGTTTGGCAAAGAGAATGGCAACAGATGCAGAGACGAGATATGCCAGATTATTCATCCGACGACTTGTCAAAATGGACGACATTTCAAATCGCAAGCATACGAATCACACAGGTCAAGTGTCTCAGCCAAAACACTTGGCAGAAGCTTCTAGGCACGAACACTTCTTCGAAGAAGTAATAAGCAGAGAAAACTTGGAAGTGGGTTCGGAATCAACTGTTTTGCAGAAACACACGCATACACAGATAAGGCAGCAAAGTGACAGTACCTCGTGTAGGAGTGGCGAGTTGTGTGCTTGCCCTATCGCTGCTACCGCGAGCCCACACACTGTGAGGACGAGGAGGCGCGACGACTATGCGTCAACAGGCACGGTGACAGATGGTGGCGCGCACAAACACACGACATAAGTGTGAGGTGCTGACAGCCGTCTCTTGGACACCGGTGGGGAAGTTTAAGGGTCGCCTTTTTTGTAGATGGAAGTGTGGTCGAGTTAAACATAAAATTGCAAATATTGGAAGCAACGACACTGAACAAACCATGATCGTGAACTCGAAAAGTGGACTTCTTCCAATTAAGTAACATTGTTCTTTTACAGCTTCCAACGGTCACCAGCTTTCGAATTCGATAAACACATCATTGGGTAGAGAGGCCGAAGAACCACGTTTATTTATCGTGCAGACTGTGAGTGTGAATAACACAAGAGCCTATGGCCTATATACAAGCTCGATATGTTTGTGTTTCATCCAAAGTTGTACACTGTCTAGCCAGAGCTAACACCTAAGTCGGGTTAGTCATCTGGTGACCCAACAGCGGCGTAGTGCTACGGCCGCGGTAACACATAGACCAAGCCAATAACACCTTTCAGCATGAAGCAGTAGGTCTAAGAAAAAACAAAAATGAATGGGAAGGCGAAAAAGAAGGAAAGAGCCTTCGGAATATGTAAGTGTGTGGAGGTAAATCCAAAGTCCTAATGCCCCAACCAGAATCATATGCACAAGAACAAAATTTCGTGTAGCCCTAGCGACAGCAATGGTGTGGAGGCAGAAACGTAAGGATTGAAAGAGTAGTTGTGGTGAGAAGGCGACAGCTTGAACCCAAGCATAGAATGAGAGTCCCCGGAGGATAAAGCACCCCTACCCACCACACCTGCCATCCGGTCAACCAAATGACGGGACGAAGTGACCATTCAACACAGAGAGTATGGAGAGAGTTTCCAAGAGCAGACCTTTGGTACAGAAAGGGCATCTCACCTCTAAGTGCTCCCCATACCCTCAACTTTAAACTCACTTAAACAAGGCATAAGAATGTTTGCTTCTTCTATCTTTTAATGGATTGGTACGATGGGTCAATTTGAGGTCATAATAACAAGAATGGGGCCGTAAAAGTGCTGTCGCTGCAAAGCACAAAAATAAGGCATTAAAAAGTTTAGCGTAAACAGAAGAAGTTGGTAGAAGTTGAGAGTTAAGACTTTCAATTACCCTTAATTTTACGAAACCGAGTACTAATTTATAACTGCTAATCGAGGAGTCCAGACCAAAAAAGGAGAAATCGTTCCAATGAAAGCAGAGACTGAGCAGCGAATTTTTTAAAACTTAAGTAATATCTGCTATTTTATAATTTAACGGTTGCTAACGCCCATTATTTTTAGCTGCTTGGACAGGGAGATTGGAGTTTGTAAGAAAAAAAGGCAACGAAATAGGAGGAGGATTTAACCACTCCCTAAGGGAGGAGTTAGCAGAGTTAAAGCATTTTTAACCAAGTTAAAAGTCAGTACAGCTAAGAGTCCTCAAAGAAAGGTTTTGTAAACTTGCCTCCTCTTTTGCTTTGATGAAGAATATGAAACTCACAATTCTGACAACTACTAGAATGTTTACCTTCCCGCCTACACAAAATTGGGCTCTCGTAAACCGGACACAAATTCGTGTGAAAGTGAATCAAAAGTCCATCGGTGTTTGGTTTCTGCATAAGAGTACACCGCCTCGAGAATTCAGGCAACCTCAGGATGCCTAACGCTCGCCAACACCTTCTTGCCTTGGATTCTGACGTCTCAATTGCCACCATCAAAGGGCAAGGTAGTTAGCAATGAAGGATGAGACATCACCTGCACAAAGCATTCAGCCCAAATTTGAGGAGGTAGCAAGGCAAACCACTTCCCAATGACTGAGTAGAAGGGATGGCAGATACTCTTCATTGCATTCGCCCACTCTGCCTAAAATAGCAGTCTCATGCGGATTGAAAGTGACCGTGAAGAACAAGGCGGAAAGCAAATGCATAGGAAAAGCAACTTAATTCATCCAAAGCGTAGAATTCTAAATGAAATTACATCCCATTCACGGATTTTTGTTTTTGTACGCCCGCCTGCTAGGTTATGGTAAATGTGAAGGGCAAGTGTAACGACCACAACCACGAAATTGTCGAAACAATCACCCCCTTTCCCTTCCCCAATTCGTCTAAAGGCTACTTGGGAAATAAAGTGGTCGAGATAGCATGCGCTAGGGCGAGGCAATCCGCCTTAATGGACCCTCATCAAATCCACCCTACCAATAACTCTGATCGTACTACTTCTTTTTCTTTACAAAAAGCTACACAATGCAGTAATTAAGGTCCAGTTATAACGACTATGATCATGGTAAAAGAATTAAGCCAGTAATGGATTCCAAACGATCCCCTAGGAAGTGTTATAGCATTGTGCCATTTCAACTTCCCACTGGCAACTCCAAAGAGGACAGGCAGTAATCGCAAAGTGAAAATTCACAGGATTATAGTGAGAAAAAAAGTGCACATTTGCCATGCGAACTGAAGCTTGGATGAGAAGGTAGCAAGCAATCCTCCTGTTAAAGTCGTCTACGTTAACTTCCACACCTGCTTGTGCCCATCGCACATACACACTGCAAAAGCATGTACACAATAAGGGGGAAAAAATGCGGCAAACCAATTATAGCAAGTCAGCATTTCGCTTTGCATTAAAAAAGTGGGAAAAACGATTTAACTGACAGGGTAGAAGTTAACCTCACGCCAAAATGTAGATGTGACAGTTGGCGTGTGTCAATTTAATGCAAATATCAATCCCCCAAGAGTGAATGACCATTGCAAAGCACAAATCTGTCTTTCGCTTAGTGATAGTGCAGTGCTAGTAGATTGTGTAAAAATTTGTCCACTTAAGACCTTCAAATGAAAAATAAAATTTTTCAAACGACTCCAAAATCGAATCTCATAAAGCATGAAGATGTTTGGTTGGTCAATTTGGAGAAAAGTGAATGACATCGGCATCAGATAGGGCGACACCTTCACAGGGAGTTGCGATATGGGGGCTTTTAATTCAGAACAATAAAATTTGATCCAACATCACCCTCGGTCAAGGTGTAGTAAACTTGAGACGCGAGGTTCGAGGTGCTTGAATAAATGTATCCTGTCAGCAGCTACGTTGCCACCGTGAAAAAGTAAAACACACACCAGTGAGTGACAAAAGGCCCTTTTTGAAGTCACTCTACGAGCAGTTCTACAGAGTCCACTTTCCCGCTCTGATGGTGGGTGAGGAAGCACAAATCATGGTCTTAGCTTCACAGGCTACGTCAAGACTCCTTCATAACATTCACACTTCTCAAGTGGACTGAATCAACGTGGGCTTTACACAATGCCCGCCCATTAATGCTAGCGTCCCTTAAGACAACAGAAGCTGCTGACAACCAGCTGTCAGATTACCTAACATCATTTAAACTACCCAAAAAATGAAAACTTGGACAAATAAGTAAAGAAAGTGTACACAAAGAGTTCTGATAAAACGCATCTTTTAGAGAAGTACTTTAGTGAACAGCTACCAGCAGGTCGAATGTCCTGCATTAACAATTGCTCCAAATAATAGTACCACAGCGTTGATGGCACACGAGCAAAGAGTTCTTGAACAAGAGACGAGAGAAACAAGGACAAGAAGTCGATTCCGATTTTGGGTACAAGAACTTCGGTTATGTTTAACTGGAAAATTTGACCGAAAAAGAGGAATTTGGGCTCTTGGTGACGTAGACATCATCACTAGTTGAGCCCACCTTCGATGTTGTTTAAGGACGAGAAAGAGAGCAAATTTCGTCAAATTTACTATGCATTGCGTTGTTCTAAAGCAACCACACAATTCAGTGGGAAAAGATTCACCACAAACCGGTAAGGAATGCGTGCCATATGTTTGCAACGCAGTAGTGCATATGTGGCCCTGGTATCAAATTTGGTGCTAATGTGTTCCTCGCATTCACATGTGTCCAGCATAATCCTCCAACGCTCCCACTTGGAACAGGAAGTAGCCATTTAGAATGGAAATAGCAAAATGATTTCACTGAGATTACCTGGGATGATGAAAAGGCTTATGCACAAAATCATTTGTAGTTTGGTGATGAAATTAGTTTCAAAGCGAAGCGCCTGTCAGAATTAACAAATGCAAAGGAATAAAAAGGGGATTTCAAAGTGCATTAAAGGGAAGCCTTGCTTGTGGACCCAAAGGACTGTGGGATCCATCGACATGCGGTAGATGTGAAATGGAAATCATAGGCATAAAAACGACGGCAAATAACTTTGATTCCTCCATAGTAAGATTTACGCCATTCCTCTGGACCTTGACCTAACACGTCGCGAATGGGGGTTTTAAGGCCACTTCGAGTCAAATTTGTTGAGACGGATCACCTCAGAGGTCTACCTCTAGAGGAGCTAAGGCGTCTAGGTAAGGTGAGAAAATGTCTAATAGGCAGCAAGTTCTTTCACACAGGCAGTGTATTTTCATTTCGGACAACAACAAAGCGTCCTGCAAGCGTCAAGCAGACAAAAACAACACAAAAAGAATGAATTATTTAATTTTGAGTTGCAGAGATCGCTGAATAATGCCTTAATGTGGCATGCCTGTGTTCTGAGACTCACTTGATCCACAGCGTTGATATCAGCTCCCATTTCGAGGAGGGTGAGAACGAGTGAGCAATTGCCATGATAGGAAGCGAAGATGAGAGGAGTGAAGTCGGCCTGAAATAAACAAGTATGAAGGATAAAAGAAAGGCTTATACCAATACAACACAGTTGTATTATAAAGTGTTGGCGAACGAAATGAGTACATATAAATTATTCAAAAGAGGTGGTAATATGCGTAATGAACGATGCTGGAGTGATTTGAAAAAGGTAATTGTTGTGTAACATTTCTGACTGCAATATCCAACAACTAAAAGCGCCTGAATCGGTCGACACAGGATAGTGACATGACAAGCGGTAATGCAGTCTTGACGGAGGCAAGTGCTGTCAGACAGGAAGTAGCGAATACTTTTGCATTATTGACGACAATTCATATCATGAGTGGGAAGAAGTGTGATAGTGAATTTTCAGCTATTCTTGCAAATCTTTCTGGTAGACATCACAGCAAACAGTAAAACACAAGTCATATTGTAAGTTCAGAGATGTAGGAGCCAAAGTAGAAGCGGTAGAAAAAAGAAGAGCCGCATTTCATCAGCAAAATGATACGTTGGGCATCAAGACACTTCAGTAGTCCACGTATTGAATACTGGGCATCGGTAATACACTACCTACTGTACATACAAAAGGGTGCGAAAGTTTACCCTAGTGAGGTAAGTTCATGTCCTACAAAGCTCTGTCGGATTCATTTCTGCTCTGTTCACGCTTGGTGAAAAAAATATACGTGAAAGCTGTTGACATGCATCGGATCTGGTCACGGAATGGTTCCATTTAGTGAGTCAATTTTGCCAACAGAGAACTTGGCCTGGTTGCATGCTGACAAGAGACACAAAACGATGATTGAAAGGTGTCACGGCGTCGCACCGGCTACCTGTTTGACGAGTCCAAGCTATAAGCCTGGCAAAGCCCAGCAAATTATTTCACGCTGCGAGCACATAAACGAATTATGACTAGTGTTTTATTAGAACCATTTTCAAGCTCCGCATCCTCCTCTTAGCCCAGCCGAATCGGGATTTGCAGCCACCTTGGCTCAACCCTGTCTATAAACAACCCAACTAAATGCATCTACCGCGGCATTAGTGCAATTGTGAATCTCGCATTGAGAGACTCTTTGAAATAGCAGTTCAGCACTAGCGTTCACACAAAAAATCATCCCTCCCACGCCAAATGTACACCATTTCCGAACTTGATGAGTTCAATGGAACGAAGAGTGGGTAGATCTAAAGCAAAAAAAGTGATTCGATAATTGTGTTTGATGTCATAAGGAGCTACAGTAGACGATATTCCGACTGCATTCCAAGGTGTCCATTGTATAGCTAATTGTAGGCGTGAAAAAGTTCTCTTCAGTACAATAAACATGACGTACACTTTAGAATAAGAATTTCAACTTTAAAGGGAAATTTAATGCACACGAAACACGTCAAAGATGTTATCACACCTCAATGAAATTAGCACGATCTTCTGTGTTGCTTTTCGGTACGCCATCGGGATAATGAATGGCTGGCGGCTTACTTAAATTCACCGCTTGACGTACTACAAAGCACGCAACACCGCCATTACTTCGGGTTAAGTAAGAAATGAGTGACTTGAGGAAGAAAAAGCATCAAGCCCATCAACAAGACAAAGTACAGAAGAAGATTTGTTGATACAACTCCGTAAACAGATTTAATGTCTAAGAAAATGAGCTGCATCGTATCCACTTAAGACAACGTGAACCACGCCCCTAAGTTGAACTCCAAAATGTTGACAAGATTTCAATCCATGAAAAGGCCCATTCAACTGTGACTTTGAGCGAACTCTAAAAATTTCGTCTTCCATTAAGCAAGTCTCAGTCATTGGGACACAACACTGCTTTTAAACGGGCCTTTGTGAGTGCGAAAATAAAGCAATTAAAGCTTGAAATGTTGACGTGCGCCATCCAGAGGTAAGCGAAAGATCCAGGTGAAAAATAGACCAGAACGAAATGGAGGTAGTTAAGGAAAGGGCCTATGCTGCATGAAAAACAACATTTTAAAGGATGGGGTTTGCAAACTTGCAAGTTGATATGGAACAACAGGTTTCAGTTATGGTTAATTCAATTAATGCGACACCTTGAAGGAGCTATAACAGTTTTTTTTGAAGGTCATCTTAAGAAAAGACTGGCCTTCTTTGCGCACCTTCCGTCTTTCGTTCCCCAAAGTGATAGTGACAGCTTCTCGTCTTCAAACACTACAGTATTCTGTGGAATGCAACG